GTAGGAAAGGCGGCCGAGCGGCACCGCGGTTGAAAGCAGGCCTGCGGGCGCCGCCTCGCCTTCCCGATAATGATGCCCGTCCCGCCTTTTCTCCCTTTCTCTTTCCCCTCCTCTTTCTTCCGTGGCCGCAGATACTACTGCAGAGAGTGGAAATTTCCACTGAATCCCGCCCCCCTTCTCCTCCCCTTGAGCCCGCACATGGGAACTCGCTGGCCCTGCGAGACCCCTGCCAGCGAAAGCCGCCTTTTAATCGCAGGACCCGGCCCCCCACCTGGAAGTCTCCAAGCCAGTCTTTCCCCGACAGACATGAAATAGACGGGGGCTGTGCAATGCCAGGCTCATCCGTGCCTCACTTTCCAGCACCTTCCAGAAGCTTCCAGAAACACCTGTGGGTTTGCAAAGCTTAAGCTCCGTTTTTCCGGAAAAGGAAAAAAAATGTGCCTATGTGCGCACAACAGCAGAGACGTTTGGGACATTCCCACGATCGACAATAAGACTCCTATATCGCAAACAACTCCGGGGTGCAGCAGATAGCGTCTTTCCCCTACAGATGCACCAGTCCCGAATACCTTTTCGGCTGCGGCGCGGTTAGTAAATCTGGCTCCATATAGGACGGTTTGACATATTTCACAAATAAATTTCTCAGAAACATAAATTTACCAAACACATACACAAGCAAAAACAAACCCCAAGCCTCTTCCCCAAAATAATTTGTTGGTATGTCTACGATGGGGGTGGGAATCCTTTGCCATTTCACTGCCCTGCATCTAGTTCTGGTCACTCTAGCTTTGTTTCCATTATATCATTTTAGCCTTTCTAAAAACATACATTTTGTATTATACACCTACAATTCGGTGTCCTATGTTCTCATCCCTTCTACATCCATACCCTACAATTAATGAATTTCCTTCTAACGCCGGTGTTCAGAAACATCCTTACTAACTGTATTTGTATATCCCCAGAGATGCCCATATTGTTCCAGGCAAATGAATACATACACAAGCAAATTATTTCACCTGCTGAAAGAAAAGCAGAGGACTTTCTAAGCCATGGACAGGTAAGAATACTAACCCAAGGGCAGAATTCTCAGCCCCGCTGTACTGAGAAGAGCATTCTGCTGGTAGGACTATTCCACATCCATTGGCATGGCCAAAAAAGGAAAGAGGCAGGAAACTGCAAGAATACTTTGCCTCCCACACTAAATGAGAGGGGAAAGGAAAAAGGGAAAACAAAAAGCCAAGCCTGGCCCTTATGTCAACATCACAACCCAGCAGTGGATATGGTGTAAATCAGCCCCCAGTTGCCACTCACCTCAAGCATACAGAGACGCTAGAAATTACAGAACCCAGGGCAAAGATCTAGATTGCTCTGGTCCTATTCTGTAAAACTTCACAAGAGAGAACTCTGATGATGGAAGAGGACACTTTGACCCCAAAGAACTAGTTTCCCTAAATAACACAGTTCCTATGTGAATTTGAATAGGTTGAATTAACATGTTCCTCCTTAAAGCCCTATGCAGATTCAACTACCACCACCAGATTTGATTGGAGGGCAGGTGGAACCAAAAAGGCCAAGAGAAAAGGAAACTCTTCTGTATTGTATAATTGCTATCATTCTTTTTCAGCCTTCCCTGCCCCTTTGCAATAAATGAGTACTCATTTGACTGAACTGTATTTCTTTAATAATCTTAATCCAATGGAAAGCAGTGTCCTCCATATGCAGAGCTTCTACACATCCACACATTCAGGTAAGCTCTTTGTTGGCAGAAGTCAGAGATCTCTCTCTCCCAGCCTTTCTAGAATGAGAATGTATCCTGGATTTCAACAAAGCCTCCAGCATATAAAAAAACAAGCTGCAAATTCCAGGGTTCCTGGCATCAGTGACTAGGATTAAGACTGGTGTGGAAGAATGGCTTATAATATACCTGTTTGTGAATTGTGGAGCATGGATTTGAAGTCCTTAGGTTCCTCTTGACTCTCACTTTGGGCCAGGAATACAAAATATGACTGGCTCCACATTTTCCTCTGACTGGGCCATGGTTTGTTTAAGCATGATTTATTTAATAACCCACAACTGGCTGAGATATTAAGTCAAAACCAAAGAAATTATATTATGTCTCAGCATAGTCTGTATTTGGCTGCTCTTCTTGCAGATTCTGGCTACATTTAATGTCTTATGAAAAATAGTTGTTTCCTCATAGAGGATATTTTGAGCATTGTGGGTACATTCTCCATGCCACTTTTCCAGAGACCTATGTGGATACTATGTTGATTGCTATGTGAGCCAGTTTGGTGTAGTAGTTGGCACCAAACTAGAAACCAGGAGACTCTGAGTTCTAGTTCCGCCTTAGGCACGAAGCCAGTTGTGTGACCTTGGGCCAGTCACTCTCTCTCAGCCCTAGGAAGAAGGCAAGGGCAAAATCTAGCCAAGAAAGCTGCAGGGACTAGTCCAGGCAGTTGCCAGGAGTCAACACAGACTTGAAGGCACCCAAAAAAAAAAAAAAATGTGGATACTGTGTTGATGGCCTGTGTATCCTCATATTTGTGTGGTGTTCTCCTGAAAGAGTACTTGTGAGGAGCATAATAGGATTTTGACTCCTTCCCATCAAAGAGGGAGCGATGATAGCACAATGGTGTCTGTATTCATCACTGGGACTGTTGGAGTGGCAGGTGCTATAGTATTACAGTGGTACCTCGGGTTATGAACGCCTCTGTTAACGAATTTTTCGGGTTACGACCAGCTCTGGCCCCAAAATTTTACCTCAGGTTGCGAACCGGATCCGCGGCCATTTTCCCTGCTGCCACGCAGTCACGGCTTCCTGTGGGCGAGATCACGGTAGCAAGGAGACATTCGGTGAGGT